TTTTAATAGTTGTAGATGGACAGCATACCTTTAATTTATTTTTTTTTTAATGTGGTGCTGAGGATCAAACCCAGGGCCTCACACATGCTAGGCAAGTGCTCTGCCACTGAGCTACAGCCCCAACCCTTATATTCTTGTTTGTTAGAAGGATAATAATTTTAGCAGTGATTCAATCTGATGTCCCTTAAGGTCTCTACTGAAGGATTAATAAATATTTTTTAGTCTGTTATAACTCTCATAGTTTTGCCAATAACAACAATATAAATCCAATTGAAATTCAGACTTTTCTTAAAACCCAGGTTTAGATAATAAACTTATCCTTTTTGTTGGCCTAAATTTTTTTCTACAAAATATAACTTTTGTAGCCCTTTGTTTGGGCATTGACATTTTAGTCTTGGAAGAAAAGATTAACAGAATAAACAATAAACTACTTTTCCTCAGAGAGGATATGTAGGCCTGAATACATAGATACACACTTATAACTAAAGCCATTTATTTCATAAAGTTTATTCATTTTCCTTCCTTTCTTTTCTCCTTCCTGCCTCCCTTTCTTCCTTCTTTCCTTTCTTTTCTTGATGTCATTGGGACAAGGGGGTTTGAGCTATGTGCACATGGCATAGTTCAAAAGTGAAGACACTTGGACAGTCTTATCTTGAGAAGAGTGCAGTACAAGAGCAAAACTCAAGAGTAGAGTCATTTACATGATCTATGTAACATCTCATGCTGTGGGAGCTGTCAGACATTTAGTACTCAGCATCATGACTATGCAAGGAACAGACTTTGCACCAATTTCTGAATACTTAACCTAGGAACACAAAACTTTGATCATTGTCATGTCTTTTAGAAGGAAAAGTAAGTTCTTAAAGACTATTTGTATATTTGCTTACTTGGATCAAATAAGTAATCTTTGATCTTAGGTTTCTACTGGAATGGGTTTCTTCAGGCTTACATACTCATTCCTAAGAAGTACTTGAAATACTTTCTGGCTTGAAAATGGATTTGTGCATGCTTTATTGAATTTCTTTTTTAAGTTTTTTAACCTAATGCTAGATATCAGTATTAAAGATTGTCTCATGCTCTAAGAAAGTAACTAGCCAAGTATACATTCCTATTAAAATTATAATGGAAAACTTTTGTAAGCAAATGAATGATACTGCAGATGCTTTGCTCACTTTCTGGATTGAGCCTGTGTTGTTTCCTCTATCCTTCACTCCCTCTTCTAAAAGCTACTTTTCAGAAGACTCCATTTGTCATGTAATACCATGTGACAGAATAAAAATTCCCTACTTTTATTCAAAGTTGTCTTAGTCCAATTGGGCCACTATAACAAAATAAGTGAGTGAGTGATTTATAAACAATAGAAGTTTATTGCCCAAAATTCTGGAGACTGGGAAGTCCAATATCAAAGGCCTCAGCCAATTTGGTGTCTGGAGAGGATCTGCCCTCTGCTTTGTTAATAGCACCTTCTTGCTTCATCCTCACATGCCAGAAGGTATGAACAAGCTCCTGCAGGCCTCTTTTATAAGGTTATTAATCTGTGACCTAATCATTTCCCAAAGACCCCCACTTCTTACCACCACATTGAGGGATGCAAACATTCAGACCATAACAAAGATCATGGGACCATTCCAGAAAAGAGAGATTAGATATTGCAGATAAGTTATTGATTTGTATTTTCTTTGTTACCATTGCATACTAGAGGAAGAACTGGTTTAAAAATATACATTAAGGGTCTGGGATTGTGGCTCAGTGGTAGAGCGCTTGCCTCACACATGTGAGGCACTGGGTTTGATCCTCAGCACCACATAAAAATAAATAAAAACAAAATAAAGATATTGTGTCCATCTACAACTAAATATATATATATATATATATGTATTAAATGAAAATAAAAAGCTCCTAAATGACCAACAATATGGGACTCATTAAACTTCCATTCAACTGAGTGCTCTGCAGCCATAAAAAAAATAGATTTTAAAATAATATTTAATGACATGAAAAAATAGTTATGATGAAGATTGATAAATAAAATTTATTGGGTATTGATTTTATGCTAAGAATGAAATTTCTAAGTTGTTCTCATTTTAAAGGTAAGAAAACTCAGGCTCAGAGAATTTAAGTGATTTGCCCAAGCTGATAATAGGTACAGCCAGAATTCAAACCAAGCAGTTTGACTCTAAAGTACTTGCTTGCCCAGTCATCGTTATGTATCTCTGTAAACTTCTTCATGAAACTAAATCAAATTTTTGTAATGTTTCTAAAAAAATTGTTAAAGAATAACCTAATTTTTAAAAGAATGTTACTTTTTTTTTTGGGGGGGGGGGGGTTGTAGATGAACACAATACCTTTATTTTATTTATTTCTATGTGGTGCTGAGGAACGAACCCAGTGCCTCATACATGCTAGGCAGGTGATCTACCACTAAATAACCATAACCCTAAGATTACTAAATTTTGACCAAATAAAATTGGTGAAGGGACAACACGTCCTTATAGATATAAATATAAACTATAAAATACCATAATTTTAAAAAAAAATTAAGTTATAGATGGACACAATGTCTTTATTTTTTTAATGTGGTGCTGAGGATCAAACCCAGCCCCTCGAACATATGAGGCAAGTTCTCTACCACTGAGCCACAACACAAGCCCCTAAAATACCATAATTTTTAAAGTAACATTGTAGAATAGAAATAGACCAGAAATAGAAAAATCAGAAGAACGTGTACCTTTTTATGTTCTCAGAGAAGAAACCAAATGAATATATGTAAATATTTATAGTGATTATCACAGATTAGAGGAATCACAGGTAATTTTTCTTTCTTTTTAACTTTATTTTTCAGATAATAGTAATTTTTAATACTTTAAAACTTCAAGTATTTATAATATTTTATTAGTGCAATATATATTAGAATTTCAACATATATTAGGGTTTAACTTTATGCACAGTGTACTCTGCATTTTTTGAATTGCATACTTGGTGAAATGATTTTCTAAAATGTTCAGTATATTATTCGTTTATTCAGGGCTTAAATTAACCAATCACATAGAATAACCAGTGCATTCCTCCTTTTTGGTAAACATGGAGAAATGGCAATGGGATATTAATCTTTTGATTTAAGATTGAGGAGAAAGATTTTAGAATATTTGATTTTCAAAACCTGAAGTATCACTTGTTGATATAAAGAAAAGCTATTGAATTTTATATATGTAGTTTCTGTCTGATCATTGAACTCTATAGTAAGTTGGTGATAATTTTACAAATGATTCTTTTGAACTTTCTAGATGATTATATAATTATTTCACTTAAAATAATGATAAATTTTCCCCTGATATTTGTGGTCTATATGTTCTATAACATTCAAAAAAATTGAATAGGTGTTTTAAAAGATGTATAGATTCTTGTAATAGTAACATGGAAATATGTGTCCTATATATCATAAAGTAAAAAATAAAGTTAGAGTCCTATATATAGTAGAATCCAGTCTTTATTTCAAAATAAAAAGCACTGTATAAATAAATGCTTGATTTGGGTATGTTGCCTCTCAAAAAATTCCAGTACCAATTTGGGTACCTGTCTTCATTAGCTCAAGAAACCAAACAAAATGCCATAGATCAGGTAACTTACCCAATAGAAATTTATTTTCTCACAGTTCTGAAGGCTGGGAGGTCTTAAGATCAAGGTTTCTGTTGATTCAGTTCCTGATGAGAGCTCTATTCCTGGCTTGCAGAGGCCTCTTCCTCTCTGTTTCTTCACATGGCAAAAAACTAAGAAGAGATGGACCTCTCTATTGTTCTTATAGGGCCACTGTCATATTGGCTTACCCTATGACTTCTTTAACCTTAATAGCCTTTTAAAGACCTTATCTCCCCCAAACATGGTGGCCCAGATCATACTTAGCAAAACAATGTCTCAAAATCTAAAAAGAGTAGGGACATAGCTCAGCAGTAAAGCACCCCTGTGTTCAACACCTAGTATTCCCCCTTTCCCTAGAAAAAGATCCTATCTCTAGATGCAGTAACATTGAAGGTTAGAGCTTTAGTATATAAATTTGGAGGTTACACAATTCTGTCCATAACAGTGCCTAAACTCGTTCCAGTGATCTCAGAAATCCTGTTTAATTGATTTCATTGAAGATGGGGTTTATTTTATCCTTATGAAATTCTTAAGGTACTTATTGCTTTATAGTGTGTCATTAGGAGATTTGTCTAAATTTAACCTTATGAATCATTTCCTCAGACACAAAATCGAATGAAGCTAATGGCCGACAACTACGAAGATGACCACTTCAAGTCCTCCCATTCCAATCAAACGAATCATAAGCCCTCTCCAGACCAGGTAAGATTTCCCCTGAATATTTTATTTTTTTTAAAAAAAAACCACACCTTTTTTTTGATGTATTTTGTACTAGTGTGCTGCAGTTTCTGAGGTACAAAGTAGAAAAAGAAAAGTAAGTATCTAATTCAGGTTTGAAAACTCCTTCACATTTTTTTTAAACACAGACTCAATTTCCACATAGGAAGTTGATGATTCTGAATTTTTTAAAAGCAGGTTCTTGAAAAATTTGAAAATGACAAGGAATACTTGAATTGCACAGGGGAAAAAAGTCCTGCTTTTTTTTATTAAATAACAATGCCTTGTTAGAAAAACAAGACTCTCTTTGTAAGCTCAGTGAGGCACAACTTAGTGTAGGGGTTACTTCTATTTAATTGCAGATTATGAAATCTCAGCTCATCACCTATTAAAAGTGAAAGTTTCTTCACTCCATTTCCTGGCAGTTCCCTCTAACATGTCATTCTCAAGGAAAATCGTTGCCTTCAATTTCACATAAATGCAGAAGAGACATTGATGTGCCTAAAGGAAGCCATATTCAATTCTAGTTTTTTAGAAGAAGGGAACTCTCCCAAAATCTTGAAAGTGATGGATGGGGGAGAGTGGTGAACAGATTACCTCATATCCCATAGCCAAAACTTGGATTTCAACATCTCCATCACACCCAGTCTTAAAATGTATGGCTAAGGGGAAAAAAAATAATCAAGTAATTACATCCATATGACTAAAGAGTCACAAAAAACTCCCCTGCTAAACATCTCCATAAATGACAGCTACGGCACTGTCCTAAGAGAAGTAGCAGAAATACTGCAGATGAAAGTAGCAGTGATAGCCAAATTGCTATTATTTCTGAAATTCAGAAAGTATAGTCCTAATATGTTGACATGTACTAAGCCAATTGAAGCCCACCTTATGTTTTAGAGGGAAGTCTTTAATTAAAGCAAAATGGAGAATGGTCTGCTTGATGTCAGCAGTCCTTCCCTGCCAAGAAATCACTTTGCTTTCTCTGCCTGCTTCCTAATACCTAGAATTGTATTTATGCCAGCATATCTAAGATGCATGTTAGATCCTTCCCATGAAACAACAGAGAATTGGAGGGGTGGTTGGCACAGAGGTGAAAAAAGAAAAGGTATAACATAAAGGAAAGAAAAAAACAATCTCAGCTGGATAATATTACCAAGAGACAACATTTGAGAAAGGCAGGAAGACGGAACTGTAATGATAAAATAATTACTAATTTCAAGAGTTCAGAGGATTAGAATCTAAAATTTAAAAAAAAAAATTAAGAACTTCTTTTCTGCTACATTATGTCTTTGTCTTTGTTTTAATACTAACCAACTCTTTTTCATTCCCATGCTGCCCCGGGGCATTGTTCCCTTTGTCATCTCTCCCCATAGGATGAGGAGGAGGGTATATGGGCATAGCCAATCAGATGCTCTTAGTTCAGCCATTTTGTTCAGAACGGTGAGAAACAGCTTTCCTTAACTAAAGAAGTGATTTTTGTTTGTCTTCATTTTTTCTTTTTACACAATCATTCTCACATCTTGTTTCTGTATAATTTATGAAATCCTTTGGTATGCTTTCTGTTTTTTTCTATTTTACATGATTCCTGTGTGTATTGCTGTGGATTTGACATAGTGGGGTGGATTTTGTGTTTTGTTTTTTTTTCTATGTGTGTTAATAGTCACTTTTACAATTTCTTTCTATACATTTTTGGGAGAACTTCCAGGGCATATGACTAAATTTCTCTAGTAATGATTTTGTTAATAAATTACCTTCACAGTGTCCTGGTTAGGTTTATACTTAAATCAAACTGGCAATAGAAAATTGATCAAATAGCCTGGGTTTGAGATGTCTTTCTTATGATAATTAATTTTAAATACATAGTCCATTTTTTTTAAGTGGATTGTGAACCACACTTTATTCCTTTTGCTTCTGCCTATAGAAGAGTACTCCGAATTCTCAGGGTCAGTACCTAGAACACGCCCTCAGGCTTTGACATTGCTTTCAAACTTTCCCTAAAAATGAGGAGGAGCAAAGAAGTAAAGGAAGACTTTTTAGAAGTCAGTCTAAAGAATTATTTTCCCTCTTCATAGAACGCTGCTGTGTTCAACAGTTGCCAGGACACTGTCTAGATTCTCTTTTCTAGGCCAATTGGCTAGAAAATATGGTCCAGATGTGGTAGTATCACCCTTTGATCTGATGCCCTTGAGGTTTGACTAAGGAAATCCTTTTCTTAGAAAAGTAATAATTATGATTAATAACTTCACACATATTGGTGGCCTTGCACTCCCTGAATTCACTGCTGATGCTAATTGATGATCTCACTGTTTTGAAGTCAGTTCTCCCTGAAATGTCTGTGTCTTGATGTTAAACTGCTTAAAATGATATGGTCTTATGTAGCCCTTTTAACTATTGAACACAGCCAAAGAGGATGGAGAGGTAAGTTGTGGAAATGGGCCATAAACTCTGAGATGGGCAGCTTTCCAAACAGCTTTATCCTGTGGGTGCAAATGAAGGTGAAATACACAGTATCAACCAAGAAGCTCTTTGGGTTCAAGTACTACCTGCCAGAGAAAATTAAAACTAAGACAATCAGTGTTCTGGTTGTCTTTTTCTGCCACCCTACAGGAATACATATTTGACATCATCAGCCATAAAGGAGCCATACAATGTAGCTTACTTGTTTCTCAGGAATGAACATGGTTCTGCCTTGTCCATTTGGAGGAATATGGGAGTTTCTTGGCCTGTCTCAGAAGGAAGCTCCTCCCCCACATACATAAACAGGTTGATATTTTTCTTGCATTCGCTTTTTCTAGTGAATCAGAAGAAACATGTTAATGTTCTGAGAAGGAAGATCCATTAGATAACTTTCCTTGGAGATTGAAAAGTGAACAAACCATCACATTTGTTTGGAACATTTGTTCCAAAAAGTGTCTATTTTACTTTTTCTTTTACCAGAATAGAATAACTCCTAGCAAGAGTTCAGATGCTCTTGATTTTACTTTTTCTAATTATTGTATTATTGAGCTTACTGAATGAAACTGTTACTGCCATTGGTTTAACACAGTGCAATTGCCGTTAGTTGGTCATAGCTGGAACTCCCATGATGTAGTCTTTCAAACTTTCTAAAATATGCTACAAAAATCATTATGTGATAACAATTTTACTTAAGTAATGCATGAGTAACCCCTAAAACACTGCAGAGTTTTGACTTGGTATCCAATTTCATTCTCCTGTTTCTGCTAATTCTACAGAGAACAGATTTTCTCACCTTAATTTCAAATTTGCAATTGATGATTCTTGTGTCAAACTTAAGACCTTAAAGTTTTGCAACTAAAACATTTTTGCAGTACACCAATTACTTGCAAAGTATGAGTCTTACCAAAGATAACTAATACTCATATGGGAAAGAGAATCATAGAATTACAGAGCTGAAAGGGGTTTTGCAGTGAGGCCATTTCATGGAAGGTAGTGTAGCTAGGGTAAGGGTTCAGAGTATAGGCTTTGGAACAGAATGCCCAGGTTCAAATCCTTACATCCCCACCTATTATGTACGACTTTGGACAAGGCATGCAACCTTTCTGTACTTTGATTTCTCATCTTTAAGGTGGTAGTGGTTTTAAGAAGTAGATGAGTTGTGAGAGAAATGTCTCTGCTACCAAACTGCACAGCTTTGAATCTAGACTCCTTCACCTACCCAATGGCCTTGGGAAAGTGACCTAAACTCTCTAAACTCCAGTTTCTTTATCTACAAAAATGAGATTTTTAGTACCTGGCACAGAGGGTTGCTAGATAAATCCCTAGCTTAATGTAAATGCTTTGAACAGTATTTACCCAACAAGTTCAGTATGTCTGTTACTATTTTTATTGTTGCTGTTGTCATCAACATTAGCTCTATCTAGAGGAAATGTAAGTTTTTAGTGAATGTTAGTTGTTGTTGTTGTTGTTGTTGTTATTATATCTAGTCCAGCGCCCTCATTTTATAAGTAAGAATGCAAAATAGATTTGAAAGTTGTGACTCAAGGTCCCCAGCCATTTCTGCGGTCTGGAAAGGGACTAGTGGCTGCCAATAAAAGAAAGAGTAGGGCTGGGGCTGTAGCTTAGTGTAGAGCACTTACCTAGCATGCATGAGGCACTGGGTTCAATCCCCAGCACCACATAAAAATAAACAAATAAAATAAAGGCATTCTGTCCATCCACAACTACAATTAAAAAAAAATAGCAAAGAAATATCAGCAATTATATCTCTGTTTCATCTCCAAAAGTTTGATCTTCTACATGTTGAGATTTTTTTCCCCTTGGAAAAACACCTTGAAATTTGTAAAGAAATTCCCTATAGGAGCTGGGGATGTGGCTCAAGCAGTAGCGTGCTCGCCTGGTATGCGGGCGGCCCGGGTTCGATCCTCAGCACCACATACACACAAAGATGTTGTGTCTGCCGAAAATTAAACAATAAAAATTAAAAAAAAAAAAAAAGAAATTCCCTATAAAGTGGTACACACCTGCATAAAAGATATTTAGTCAGTGACATTGTCTTTAAAATAATTAACTGTCAAGAAACCCTCCTAAGATGCTCAGACCAAGGATTACCTCCACTTAAAAAGAATGATATAGCCTCTTCTCTGCCCTCAGCCTAAGAAAAATCCATGTGAAATGCAGTGAGCTTTCTCTCATGGTTCCTTCTGCTCTTTTCAGACATTCCTCTTAGGTATTCACTAAGTAGAATTTCAGCAGGATTTAATAATCATTTAACAACCTAATTACATTAGGTCTAATGTAATCTAAACCCAGAAATCTGTTTAACTGATTTACTGAGGAGTTATTATGTAGCTGACTTAATTTAGGCTTATTACATCTATCATAGATGGAGTTATTTAAACAATAAACATTTATTTCTGGAGGTTGGAAGTCTGAGATTAGGATGCCATCACCATTGAGTTCTTAGTGAGGCCCTGCTTTTTTATTTTTTTGCTGGTGGTGCTGGGGATTGAACCCAGGGCCTT